AAGGAGGGAGTTCCTTGTGACAGATACTGTGTGTGATCAGATAAAGGAGAGAATTAAGATCCGGGGGCCCGAGATTCCAAGGGTCACTGTTAGAGTGTCCCGACTATGCTGGGCTGAGGAGCACAGATCTGGTTAGTCCTTTCTGCCCTGACTAAGTGACTGTAAAGTGCAGAACATCACAGCAGTGTGATGTGGTGACACTCACACAGGGCCAGCATTGTTGCTGTGGGGTGTATTTGGGAATCTGATCGTTGTTTGTAATCTAAAATGTTGACTGTGGTACAGTTTTCCTGGACTTCTGTGCCTCATGAATTTCAAGTTTGTGTGTCTTTGTGACTGTTAACAGGAAGCCCACTTCCCTTCTGGGTTCCAAGGGAGAGTACTGTGGGTCTTCTGTTTAGCAGTGGCCCACTCGGTGCTCCTGAGTTAGGTGACTCTCAACAGGACTAGGTGATTGGGGTTGTTTTTTGCAATGGATGATTATACACTGATTACATTATTATTTTTAAAATGCCACCATGTTTGCTTTCTGAAGGTAATTAAAGCAGGTAGATTACCTGATGCCAGTTGCCTAGTGACACCTTTTAGGTGCCATTACCTGTGGACACCACCACCATACCTTTAAGCACTCTATGAACCCCCTTATTCACAGATGTTATTCTGGCAGCCGTACATTCCGTGGTGTTTCCCCAAAATGATGGGGAACAGCCTCTTGGCATGAAACTATTAGAGGATATGGCTTCATCTCCATGCGTTTACTTTTGGTGTACATTATTGTAATTTGGTTTTCCTGTAAGGATAGGAAAATGTTACTGTTCTGAAGTTATTATATTAAGTCCTGGAGCTGGGTTCAGTGGCTCGGTGCCATTGACCAGGAGAAGCCTAGATCCCAACTTGTATTAGACCTATCTATACTGACTGCTATCAGCAAGGGTGACTAAGTGAAGATGTGATTTTGAGACTGTAAATCTCTTGGGCTTGGTCATTCATCCAGCTGGGTTGTGTCTGTCTCCCTGACATCCTCATCTTGATCTCGGGGTGACATTTAGCTATCCTCTGTTTGACACCATTCTCTTTGGGGGATGTCTTTCAGAAGCAGACTCAAGGTAAGATGTTGAAGTACAAATGCCAACCTCACACCAGACCTTTAGAGTATTTTCATGGTCCCTTGTCATTTGGTCTTCATTGTGGGGCAACCCTTCTGCCCAGTGGAAGGAAGCATGGAGAAAGCAGCTGGCAAAGGACAGACCAAGCTAGGGCAGGCAGCTGGCCTGCCCATCCTTTCCTTCTGTGCCACCTCACAGTCCTCAGAAACATGATGCCAGCTCAGGGCATAGAGCCACTTGCTTCTTTTGGTCTTGCTGTCTCTTAAAAGACCATTTCAGTGGCTGTTTGAAATATTAACCAGAGAGCCAACAGTCTGACCTGCTGGCCCCCAACTGGCTCCTCCTGCACCCACTACTTCTGGACACAGTGTGAGGCCTTCTTCAAGTGACTTTTCTGTGGGAAAGGTACTGTAGGCAGGCCACCCCTGCCTGGGCACAGTTTTCCAATGTTTTCTCATTCCCATTTCTAAGCTATTGTGGGAATGCTTGTCCCCTCTCCAGTTAATCTATCCCCATACACCTGGCTAGAAATGACCACTGCCCCAGCATATTCTTAGTGAACATGTTTGTAGACAGAGCTCATTTTCTCAAGAGAGCCTTTGTAAATCCCCTCAGACAGGGAGTATGGGGCCTCTGCTGTTTCCAGTGTCACCTGCTCAGTCTGCCAGTAAATCTTTGCTGCACATGACCACAGTTGTGACTGGACAGCTCTAAGAAGTCCTGTGAGGATCTGGCATCAGGCTGCTTCCTTAACAACAAGAAAGCAAGGCCAAGGATGCCCGCTCTGCAGGTTGTGGGGACATAGAACAGGTGAGGACAGAGCTGTAGTCTCAGTCCTAAGGGCTAGGGCTAGCCTCAGCCCCAGAGTGTCTATGGTAGGTGTGACAGCCTGAGAATTTGCCTGGATCTCCCAGGCTAGACCCACAGGGCAATGTCTAGCACCTCCTGTATTATGCATGAGGCATGAGTAAGCTGGTGGTCCTGTTTGTTTTGCTCATGAAGTTCTTAGGTATCACTGAAAGTCATCTCCATGGCTCAATTCCTATATCCCATGCCTGGGATGCACAGGCTTGATAGTTGGAGTGGATAAAGAATGTTCACCTTATAAAATTATACACTTGCTGTCACTTTTCCATCACATTCTTTTTTTTTCCCCCCGAGACAGGGTTTCTCTGTGTAGCTTTGCACCTTTCCTGGAACTCGCTTTGTAGACCAGGCTGGCCTCGAACTCACAGAGATCCACCTGCCTCTGCCTCCCGAGTGCTGGGATTAAAGGCGTGCGCCACCACCGCCCGGCATCCATCACATTCTTGATACGATGTGACTTGAACTTCATGTGCTGAGTAAGTGGCGTATTATGATTCTGATTGGGACAAACTCAGAGCAGTTTACAGTCCCACCTCTTTAATCTACCCAGTGCTGTAGTTGACTGTGGAAGCTGGTGACAGACACTGTCTTGGGAAATCCAACCAGCGAACTGCAAGGCCTGTGGTTAGAGAAGGGTACAGGCCAAGCCTCTGTGTAGCGTGGACTTGTGGAAGCATGGACTTTGAGAGATGTGTGTCAGGGTTAACTGTGGCTGGCCTAACCTCCTGGCTTCCTCCTGGATTGGGGAGGATTGTCCAGGTGACGCTTGGAGCTAGCGTGGTACATACAGCACTGTCTGCAGTGCCTGAAGGCTGGCCCAGGCTCCTCTTTTGAGTGATCACCCAGCACCATTTTGGACATGTCTCTGGTACATCCTGTCTGTCTTCCATAAAGCCTTGCTGGAGACCATAGAGGCAACATCCATGAAGGGCAGCTATCTTCACACTCATGTGCACTGACACCACACCTGTGCACATTCAGATGCACTCAGGCTTGGACCTCATTTGTGTGCTAGTTCATATATTCATGCATAGGTTGAAGGGCTAGCTGTTTGCCCACGTGGGCATCATCGAAGCCCGCTGCTCAGGAGCCAGCCCACCTAAACCAAAACCTTCACCTCAGTGTCCTTCTTTGAGCTGCTCTCTCTTTGTCTTTCTAAAAGAGCAGGCCTGATACACTGAGTGTGTGTATATTAAAGGGGGGTTAGTAGACTGGCTTACATGCTGTGGTCTGGTAACCTCATGACGAAAGGCCTAGAATGCAGCAGTTGTTCAGTCTGTGAGGCTGGATGTCTCAGCAAGCCAAGTCTGGCACAGACCTTCTGGAGGAGTCCTTATTTTCAGTCTAAGTTGTAATCCCAAAGAAGTAGGCTTTAATACTGTCAAAGAAATGAATGTGTCAGTAGCAGGACAGATGAACTTGTCTGTGAGAGTGAGGGAAAGCGGGCAGAAGCGAAGCTTCCTTCTTCCATTTCCGTTGTGTGGGCTGCCACCCTAAGGGTGGCTCTTTCAGTGTCAAATAATCTGATTAGGAAATCCCGCACAAAACCAGGTGTGTTGGTGCACCCAGCACTCTGGAGGCAAAGGTATCTCTGAGTTCTAGGCCAGCCTGGTCTACATTGTGAGTTCCTGGACTGCCAGGACTATGTACTTGTCTCAAAATAAAATAAAAAAATAAAAATAAAGAAAGAAGAAAAGAAAATTCCTCACAGGAGGGCATAACAGATTGGGGTTTCAGTTCCTTCCAGATGTAGTCAAATTGGCAAGCAAACTTAGCAAATTGGCACCACAGGCTCCTTCTAGGCTGTAAAGATTGAGGTCTCGGTGAGACGTACTCCAAAGGTCTCAACCACCGGTTGGTTTCCTGTCATGGCTGCATTCTGTGCTGTGACCTGCACAGTCCTAAGTGGCTAGATGTCCTGTTCTAGTCTGTCTCCATACTTAATCACTGATCACTCACTCTGGTGAGGACACGCTGTATCAGATTTTTTTTCCATGGTCCACCTGGGTTGCCAATTCCTTGATTACCACTCCCTGCCACTCTCCCTTCCATGAGGGAGCAACACCCAAAAAGTGCCCATGCCCACAGGGTAACTACCCATCAGTGCAGTAAAGGCTGGAAATAGCTCTTAGTGGCCCTGCTGAAGTGCCCACGGGGCTCCCTGCTCGGGCTGGAGGCAGGGTTCTTGTTTACCCATTGCAGTACAGTGACAGGGATCTGACTAGTTGGGCAAGCATTTTTCCCATTTGTTTTTACCATGTCTAAGAATCCTCACTCGTGGGCAGATCGTTAGTCTTCTGAACTGATGGCAGTATTCACCTGCAGTTGATCTATGCATCATAAATCCTGCAGTCTCTCTTCTGTCCCCTCACCAGCGTCTTCTCTTTGTCATGTCCCACTGGTCTTTCCTGCTCCAGAACTTGACAGTGATAGAACCTTATTGACTTCTTCATGCTCTTGTCTGTGCCACCTGCTGCCCTGTTGAATTGCTTGTTTCTGACTCAGCCTTGTGCTTCTGCCTGTTGGTAACTAATTCTGCTCTGAGGTAGTAGGCAGCATTGCCTCAGGTGAGTGCATACCATTGTCTGGCTGCTCACCTTGAGGAGCTTAGGCTTGCCTCTGGGCCTGCCACGTGTGTTGCAAGCACACTCTTAATGTGGACTCTTGGTGGTTGAATCCCTATGGTGGAGTTTCAGAAGTCTTCCATGTCTAAGAAAATGCCAGCAGTTGTGCGAACTGGCCTCACTATTTCAGCTCTGTGGGGCATACTCAAAGAGCATTTATACCCTAAAAGGTCTCCTACTCCTCCTGAGTTCTCTGCACAGATCCAAGGCTGTTCTGTGAATCTTGCCCTTAAAGGGGCAGAGGAATTTCAGGCCTTGGCAATCTGTCTCCTCTGTAGCCACCGTCGATGAATGGGCAGGTGGCCAGGTGGCACCCCGGGACCCCTCGTCAGGGAGTGGTGGGCTGGTTCCTGGGTGTCCGTGGGTCTCCAGGGCTCTGACCTCTGTCCTCCTCTGCCTGCAGCAGCAGCAGGAGATGCTGGCCATGAAGCACCAGCAGGAGCTGCTGGAGCACCAGCGGAAACTGGAGCGGCACCGGCAGGAGCAGGAGCTGGAGAAGCAGCACCGGGAGCAGAAGCTGCAGCAGCTCAAGAACAAGGAGAAGGGCAAAGAGAGTGAGTGCTGGTGGGCACAGTGAGGACTCAGGGCGGCCCCACGGCCACTGCCTCTGCTGCCTGTGCTGCTGCCCCAGGTGGCAGTTCTGGAGGGGCTTGTCACCCAACATCGGAGTCATCGGTGTTTAGGGTGATGATTTCAGGTCACTTCTCGTGGGCGTAAAGGCAAACCAGTGGCCCTGCTTTTGGCTTCATCCAGGTGTCAGGAAGGACTCAGTATTGGCCTCGGTGCAGGGGCATTCTGGGGCTCCCATGTTGACTCAGGCATCTTGAGACTACTTGACAGAACTCTTTGCAGATGCACAGAATATTAAAGCTGTAAAGCACACTGCCTTCCACCTCTGAGGTCTTCCCTAAATTGTCTTTGGATATATTTTTTAAGTGCCCCTGAAGTAGGTGTCAGCCTATAGGTGGACATGCAGCTGAGGATGCAGTTCTTGTGGGGCCAGTCCTCCTTTGAGGCCCACTCCTCCCATAGTCTTGCTTATTGATGCAGAGATAATGTGGTTGACCTCCCTAAGAAGAGCCCTAGTTGACAGTAGCTGAGAGGCCACAGGTAGCGTGTTATTGCTAAAATCTACCATGCAGACTGTATTAGTTACTGTCCTGTTGCTAGGATGGAAATACCATGACCAAAAGCAACTAAACGAACACTGAATTCATTATGGCTTACGGTTCCAGAGGGTCTGAGTCTGTTACAGCAGGGAAGATAGGGCAAGACAACAGAAGCAGGAGCAGGCTGATCACATTTCAACCACACATGGGAAAGAGGGAGAGGGAAAGCAGGAAGTGGGGGGAGGCTATCAACCCTCCAAACCCACCTCTCCAGTGACATACTTCCCCTAGCAAGGCTGCACCTCCTAAAGGTTCCATAAAGTCCGTGTACAACACCACCAACTAGGACCAGTTATTAAAATACACAAGCCTGGGGGGGGGGGGCATTTCTCATTTAGACACCACATGGACAGACCCCCAAAATCCTTTATCTGCAAACACTGAAAATGGCTAGCTATCTTTACAGATCATTGTAACAAATTTTTGTATGAATTTTAATCTCCATCTGTACCACATAACAAGATGCATATGCTTAAAACATTCTTGTAAAGTCTGTTATTTGACGTTGTTTGAGAATCATTTTGGCATGTGATATACAAAGATGCAGACAGATATGTCTGTGACAACAAGGAATAACCTGGGAGCTGGAATACTAGCACCTAGGGACCATCCACCCAGCAAAGAACCAACTGGACTGCTGGGCCTCTGGCCCTTAGTGTCTTTCCCCTTCCCCCACACCGCTGCTGTCAGTCATCTTAATCCCAGCTCTGTCCTAGGCCCTCTGACATCTAGTGCTGCTTTCCTGAGGGGAAGTGGGAGTCTCTGTGACTGGCCTGGCACAGTTCCCCTTCCAGGATGTGCTCAGTCAGGTCTTCTACCTGTGCTTCAGGTGAGACAGCTCCCTTTGCCTTGGTGTGGAGCTACTCCCTGTGTGTTATGGAACAAAGCTCATTGTGAGTTGTGTGCCTTGTCAACTCTTTTCTCCCTTTGAGTGGTGACTTTTTCCTCGTAATGGTGTTTGTTAAGCACAGGATTCTCTGTTCTAGCTTAGTCCAGTCTCTCAGTTTTCTTTCTGTACTTTCGGATTGTGTTTTAGAAACCACTCATTTCTCCCAAACCATTTTGCAACATTTGAATAGTTTCCCACTTGTGTGGACATCCGTTCTGCTGGCACCGGTGTGTGTGTTGCATGGTTTAGGATGTGCATCTGCCCTTCTCTGTTCGCATCCCTGTGTTTCTAGGCTTCCTGTGGTGACGTTGGTCTTTGCTGTCACTGTACCAGTGCTTGTAGTTTCAGTTATCACAGCTTGGAAGTGAGCCTGAGCACAGAAATGCTAATCTTCCCACTTCATACTTTCCTACTCTTTTTTTATTTAATTAACATTTCTTTTTATTTATTTTACATACCAACCACAGTTTCCCCTCCTTCCTCTCCTCCTGTTCCCTCCCTGACTCCCATCTACCCCCCTCTGCATCCACTCCTCCTCTGTCTCCACTCAGAAAGGGGCAGGCCTCCCATGGGCTTGGACAAATCATGGCACATCAAGTTGAGGTAGGACCTAGCTCTTCCCCCTGCATATAGGCTGGGCAAGATAATCCAGCATGTGGAACAGGTTACCAAAAGCCAGCTAAGTACCAGGGAGAGGTCCTGATCTCACTGCTAGGAGCCTTACAAACAGACCAAGCTACACAACTGTCATACACATGCAGAGGGCCTAGGTTGGTCCCATGCAGGCTCCCTAACTGTTGGTCCAGAGTCCATGTGTCCCACCAGCTCATGTCAGCTGTCTCTGGGTTCCCCCATCATGACCTTGACCTCCCTGGCTCCTACAATCCCTCCTCCCTTCAGGAGGACTCCCGGATCTTGCCCAGTGCTTGGCTGTGGATCTCTGCATCTACTTTCACCAGTTACTGGATAAGGGCTCTCTGATGACAATTAGGGTAGTCACCATCTGATTACGATAGATAGCCAGTTCAGGCACCCTCTCCACTATTGCTATGAGTCTTAGCTGGGGTCATACTTATGCATTCCTGGGAGTTTTGCACCAGGTTTCTCCCTAACCCTGAAATGATGCCCCCATTAAGATGTCTCTTTCATTACTCTCCCCCTCTGTCCTGCCCCCAACCCACCTCCTGTGCCCAGCCAGCCCAACCCACTCTTTCAAGTTCCCATCCCCCCTCCCACCTCTGCCCCCAGTTTACCCAGGAAATCTCTTCTGTTTCCCCTTCCCAGGGAAATCCATGCTTTCTTCTTTGGGCCCTCTTTGTTATGTAGCTTCTCTGGGGCTGTGGATTGTAGGTTGGTTATTCTGTACTTTACTCCAAATGTCCACTTAGGAGTATGTACATACTGTGTTTGTCTTTCTGGGTCTGGGTTACCTCACTCAGAATGATTTTTTTCTAGTTCTATCCATTTGCCTGCAAATTTCATGAGGTCATTGTTTTTTACAGCTGAGTAATATACTCCATTGTGTATATGTACCACATTTTCCATATCCATTCTTCTGTTGAGGAGCATCTAGGTCATTTCTAGGTTCTGGCTATTACAAATAATGCTGCTATGAACATAGTTGAGCAAGTGTCCTTGTGATATGATTGAGCATCCTTGGGCATGCCCAAGATTAATGTAGCTGGGTCTTGCAGTAGATTGATTCCCATTTTTCTGAGATACCACCATATTGATTTCCAGAGTGGCTGTAAGTTTGCACTCCCACCAGCAGTGGAGGAGTGTTCCCCTTGCTCCATTCCTCTCCAACATAAGCTGTCATCACTGTTTTTGATCTTAGCCATTCTGACAGGTGTAAGATAGTATCTCAGAGTCATTTTGATTTGCATTTCCCTGATGACTAAGGATGTTGAACAATTCTTTAAGTTTATCTCGGCCATTTGAGATTCGTTTGTTGAGAATTCTGTTTAGGTCTGAATCCTACTTTTTTAATTGTGTTGTTTGGTATTTTGATGTCTAGTTTCTTGAGTTCTTTATATATTTTGGAGATCAGCCCTCTGTCAGATGTGGGATTGGTGAAGATCTTTTTCCATTCTGTAGGCTGCCGTTTTTGTCTTATTGACAGTGTCCTTTGCCCTACAAAAGCTTCTCAGTTTCAGGAGATCTCATTTAAAAATTGTTGATCTCAGTGTCTGTGCTACTGGTGTTATATTTAGGAAGTGATCTCCTGTGCCAATACATTCAAGGATACTTCCCACTTTCTCTTCTGTCAGGTTCAGTGTGGCTGGATTTATTGAGGTCTTTGATCCACTTGGAATTGAGTTTTGTGCATGGCGATAGATACGGATCTATTTACATTCTTCTACATGCTATCATCCAGTTATACCAGCACCATTTGTTGAAGATGCTTTCTTCTTTCCATTGTATAATTTTGGCTTCTTTGTCAAAAATCAGGTGTTATTACATGTCTGGATTTATGTCAGGGTCTTCAATTCGATTCCATTAATCCACATGTCTGTTTTTATGCCAATACCAAGCTTTTTTTATTACTATAGATCTATAGTAGAGCTTGAAGTCAGGGATGGTGATACCTCTAGAAGTTCCTTTATTGTATAGGATTGTTTTAGCTATCCTGGGTTTTTTGTTTTTCCATATGAAGTTGAGTATTGTTCTTTCCAAGTCTGTGAAGAATTGTGTTGGGATTTTGATGGGGATTGCATTGAATCTGTAGATTGCTTTTGGTAAGATTGTCATTTTTACTATGTTAATCCTACATATCCATGAACATGGGAGATCTTTCCATTTTCTGATACCTTTTTCAATTTCTTTCTTCAAGACTTAATGTTCTTGTCATATAGATCTTTCATTTGTTTGCTTAGAATTACCCCAAGGTATTTTATATTGTTTGTGGCTATTGTAAAGGGTGATGTTTCTCTGGTTTCTTTCTCAGCCCATTTATCATTTGTATATAGGAGGGCTACTGATTTTTTTTGAGTTTATCTTGTATCTCGTCACATTATTGAAGGTGTTTATCAGCTGTAGGAGTTCCCTGGTAGAATTTTTGGGTCACTTATGTATACTATCATGTCATCTGCAAATAGTGGAAGTTTGACTTCTTCCTTTCCAATTTGTATCCTTTTGATATCCTTTTGTTGTCTTATTGTTCTGGCTAGAACTTTGACTACTATATTGAATCAATACGGGAAGAGTGGACAGCCTTGCCTTGTTCCTGATTTTAGTGGAATCGCTTTGAGTTTTTCTCCATTTAATTCGATGTTGACTATTGGCTTGCTGTATATTGCTTTTATTATGTTTAAGTATGTTCCTTATATCTCTGATCACTCCAAGACCTTTATTATGAAGGGGTGTTGGATTTTGTCAAAGGCTTTTTCAGCATCTAATGCGATGACCATGTAGTTTTTTTTCTTTGTTTATATTGTTGGATTATATTGACAGATTTCCATATGTTGAACCATCCCTGCATCTCTGGGATGACGCC